TGTATATATAATACGATATGTAATTACAAATGTATACATTGTTTAAGTTTTGACAACCAAAATCAATATTGACATTTATATTACATCTATATGAGAAGTTTTTGTCTTAAGCATATCATCAAGTATTTAAAAAAATTTATTTTAGATGATAATATAAATTCAAAGAGAAATTGAAATATTCTTTTTTTAAAAATATTTTTTTAATCAAATTAAAAATTAATCTTTTATTTGACCATAAGAAATTAATTTAAATTAATAGTACTTTTTACTTTCTAGTCTTCTTTTCCTAATCATCAACTAACATGTCCATAAACCTATTATTATTATTGATACTTTGTCAAGATAAAAAGAATTGCTTCAAAAAAGCCCTGGACTTTTGGTTGTCTCTAATTGCTTAATTAAGTCTCAAATTAAGAAAGTATCAACTTTATATACAAAATTTTCCCTACAAGGATAATTACATCAATACATGAACTCTAAGTACCAAAGAACATCCAAAATGTGATAAAAATATTCTAAACCCTTATATATCCTTAGGTAAATTTTTTGCAAACTACAACAACTTATATTTCATAATTGGACTATCCAAACGAACTAAAATTTTATATAAAGTATTGATGTACTTTAAACAACTACTACAACAAATTTTAATTGTAAATTTGTTACAGATCTTGAGATATTTCCAAAATCCTAATAGTAGCTTTAAACCCTTGCTTACATACATTCACATGTAATTTTTTTCATATTTTACAAACTAAGTATTCAAATACCAAAAATTTTTGATATGTAGATTTTTAACCTAATAGTTCATATCTTTAGAAATTTTGTGCCAAAATTTGTCTAGAAACTTAAAATATGGCTCCAATCATTACTATCAATAAAACAGCTCACTTACTATCTTCAAATTACATGTATTATCTTCAATATCTTATAGCTTCTTTATATAAATTCTAAATATAGCAATTCTTTTAAGAAAGACAAAGATCTTGAAATCATCCTTTCAGCCACATCTCTTGATTTCCAAAAGCTACTGTATAACTTCTTGTATCCTCAAAAGCCCAATAGTAATTCCTAAATAACATCTTAACTTCAAATGGCTATAACTTCTTCATTCTAATTCCTAATCTTCTTAATTTTTCACACAAATTCTAATCCAAATTCTAAACCTTACAATCCTTGCTTTTGATTCTCAAATGCCCCTTCTAAAGTCATCAAAATCCTTGCTATGGTTGCAAGCAACGTACTAAAAAGCCTATTCGGCATGGCCTTTGACCAATAGAGATGAAGACCTTCACTCTTTTCCTTCATCTACCCATATCTTACTTTCATCCCTCCAAATAAGCTTCTTAATAGTTTGGATCTTCATCGTTACACTCTTTTCTTCTCTAAAAACTTTATACTAAATATCTAAATCTTATATAATTTTATTTATAAGTCTTGATGTATATTAGAATAGTTACTGGTTCCTAAAACCATAAACTTGACAAAGAGGCCTTATTTATTGTTATTTGTAGTTAATGCTATCAAGGTGCTTTTATTTGTTGTTATTGTATTTTTGCTAATTTTTAAAGTCTTGCTAAAGTAGCCAACACATGTATCATCTTTCTTGCACTAGCTAGCTATATGCTTGGTAGAATTTCTAAGTAAAAACTTTGCATAACAAAGAAGATATTTTAGTCCATATAATTATTGCTTGTATTTAAGCTTTTAATTTAAAATAACATCAAAATTATTATATTATATTTTTCATATTTAATAATATATAATAAAAAAACTTTAATTTTGTACTTATTCTTTATATAATATTATAACAATATATCAAACTTGTCTACGATTAAATCACCTCTTGAATGAAGATTGAAACAAAAATTACAAAAAAAGATCTTAAATTATAATCAATTATAGGATATGACTTAGGTATAACACAAAGAAATAAAGAAGCCTATTTATTGGCCAAAGATAGAAATACAAGAATATGTGAATAAAGAAACAATGATAAATAAAGAAAAAGATAGAAAATAGTAATAGAAATTGTAATGCTCAATAATACGGGTTTTTGTTAGTACAAAATAAAGATTGTTATGATATCTATGCATAAAGCTTGATAATTATAGTTGCATGCATGCTTAAATTGTTTATATAACATGATGGCATATGTCGACAACTAATGGATTATTAGCAATTGTTAGAGCTATAGCCATAGCTATTTCTACACTTGGCAAAAAACTACTATAAGCATATATCCACACTTTGATCTAAAGCATATTTTATTGCTCTTTTTAAGAATAATTATATATTATATGCAAAGTTATATATATAAAAAGAAACGATAAACCATCCTAAAATTTTGTGAAATCAATCCACATGTTGTATTTTCAGCTATTCCTTTATTGTCAACCATCAACTCCATTCTTGATGTTCCTAGTTTCCCACCTCTATTCTCAACATTTCCAATCCTCCGCTCCCATTCCTAGCAACAATTGAGAATGCACAATGGCTAGAAATTGGGATAGAGCTCTAAGGGTACAATGATGCTTAAGATAGAATGGATCACTTTAATAAAATTTTAGATTGCTTTATTATTTTTCTTTAAATATATATATATATATATATATATATACATACATACATATATACTCTATTTATATGGACACAAATCTAATTATAATTCAAAAAAAATTAAAATTAAAATCAAACTTGATATACAATCATTTAGTTCAGTGGTGTATATATATATATATATATATATATATATATAATAATAATAATAATAATAATAATAACTATTGAATAGCATGTAATTATTAAAGACCATTTCTACTTTTAAAATAATTAAAATTTAATATTTATATATTTTAACATATTACTAATTAAGAAGTATATTAAAAATATTAATTTATATATATGTAATATGTAATATTAAAAATATAAATATTATAATATTATAATATAAGATAAAATACATAAATATTTGTATATATGAATATATATATATATATATATATATATATATTAAATAAGAATATGTTTTATGAAGGAATATATTTACATTCAATCAAAAGTAGTAATATGATTATAATTAAAATTAGTGTATTACATTGAATTTTTTAAAATTTTTATATTTAAAATAATAAAATTATTTATAAAATAACTAAGTGGATATTGTTTTTATCTTTCTATATGGACGTTCTTATGCACACATCCTAGATTTACATGAGAGAACTCTTATATGTACAAAATGATTTAAGGTAAATTTAGAGTATAACATTCCCTCGAGAAAATCAAAAAGATTTTAAAGAAAATAATAAGAATTGCATGAAATGTATTATGAAATTTTATTAAATTGAATTAAATTATAAAAAAATGCCACAAGTCATTGTACAAAAAACTTCTTGTGAAAATTTACCTCAATTTTTTTTGTGTAAATGCAAGGCACATGGCTCAAAGGTGTCCATATAATAAAAGAGAGGTGTTTACCTACTGTTTTTTCAATAGAATGATCTTATTTTTTTTATTTAATAACATAATATAAAATAAATTTTATAAATTACGGAAAATTTTAAATTTGATTGTAATTGGGAGTAATATATTAAAGCAAATTTTTTATGAATATCATTTAATTTTTAATATATAATATGAATTGAATACTTTTTCAATGTACAATTTGAAGTATTATTGTATAATATTGGTTTTTTAGTAGAACCTATCACTGAGATTTATTTAAATGATGCAACCAAAATAGTTTTGGAACTTAAGCAATTATAATACAATCTATTTTTTTAATATATTTTAACTTTTGTCCAATGCTCATTTTTCAAATTTAATTGCATGTGTATGTGTGTATATATATATATATATATATATATATTTGTAGAGTATTGAAAGTATATGTTGTTTTGATTTTTGGTTATATTAATTGCATTGTAATTCATTGCATTAATCCAATGTAAATTATTACAGTGATCAAGAATCTCTATTTCAACAGCAACCATTAACATTAGCATTGGTACATGTGTTTATTGCAATGGTAGTTACTAGGGTCATAGTTAGCAGCAATAGTATCTGTGTATACAATAATAATATTCTTTATTAATTGAGAGTAGTTTGTAGTAGTCCATCAACATCAATGCTTCCAAAGTTGCCTATTTGCAAAAAGAAAAAGTAATAATAATAATAATAATAATAATAACTAGAGACCACAAAATCCAACAAAAAATCATTTTGTGAATAGATGGACAAGGCTAACTTAAAATATATGATACTTCTGTGCATGTGTATTTATAATCCTTATTATAATAGTTTTGTACTTATAGTGGTATTTGTATTTTATATATTAATTACACAACTTTAGATTGTAAATCTGTGCATATGATTGTAAATACTATCCAATCATACACACTGTATCAATTAAGGATATTTTATTATATCTAATGTTGAACTTAAAATTGTTACATTTATTAAAATAACAGCAATTACTGCATCATAAATTTATATTTATAAGTTTAAAATTTATTTTATTTCTTTGAAGAGAAAGATATCTTTTAGAAATTCGAAATGGGACAGAACATGATTAAAAGAATAACACAAATACATGAAAAAATCAAAAGATTTAAACTATTAACTTGTAAATATACTATGAAAAAATAATACAATAATAATAAAAAGAAATCGAATTACTGAAAATTAAAATTTTAATTGAGCCACATGATTTCTTTTCAAATTTTCCAACATTGAGGGATATACAAGACACTGTAGAATCTACCAATCAAATGGTGAGCAGCCTTGAATATACAGTGGCTTACACCAGCGTAGTAACCAAAACTATCCCCAGCGGGTGGACCGTCACAGTGTTCCAATTCACACACCTAAATGGATGATCTCCATCTGCTGCCTGCAAATAGTCATTCATCCTTATTTCATCCTGCGGCCACCGGCGACACACGGTGGTCCGCACCTACCTAACCACCGCGCGACTCCTACCGCCGTGGTTCGTCGTTTTATTGCCGACTCTCGACTTAGATTGCTTTTGCGCGACAATTGATCAATCAGACGATTGGTTTTTGGTTTCTGTAAGCACTTGGCATCATCACAGTATGCATCGCATCGCCTGATCTCGTCTCTGGCATCTTCGATTTTCTCTCCAGTTCAGTTTCTACGCGTCTTTTTCCAAGTTGTGACTTGTCTGTGTATTCCAAAGTTGAGTGATTGTGTCGATGTTTTGTGGCGGTTGTTTTGTGATCGGTAGATGGGTTTCGAGCTCAAAGCTTCAGTTTCTCAATGGTATTAGTTGCGTGGGTGAACGCGGGGTAATTTAACTAATGTAAACTGCAGGTGAGCACGATTGGAAGAAGAATCACGAACAATCTCAGAAGTGAGAGATGGGAGAATTCTCATTTCCTTATTTCTACAACTACCCACCATACTTCACGTAAGCATTCCTCAGAAGCCCTTTCTCCTGTCGCATGATTACTGATTTATCTACAATGTTGTCTGGTGTCTCGTACTTGAGCGAGTAGGGAGCCAGAGGTCTTTGGATGTTGGTGGGAGTTGGATGTGTCTACATTGCAATTTTTTAGGTTTAGGTTTTAGCGAGTAAGAAGTTTGGCATGAGGGCTTGCGTGGACTGATAGAGTCTTCTATGTTCGTGCAGGCTGCAACCAATGAAAGACACGCGGGACAAGCAAATCCAGCTGTGGAAAGAGCTCATTCTCAAGTACTGTAAGCATCACAAATTATTTTTGATCGACTTGGAAGAGGAGTTTGCACTTTTTGAGAACACGAGCATTCAAAGTGAGTGATCTTGTCCAGTTGCCGAGCGACACTTTTCGTACGTGTCATTATGGAACATTAGGTTTTAGGGTAGGTTAGGAATTTGCAGGCTGCAGGGTTGTTGCCTCCTTTAGAAGAGTGGCAAGTGCTCAATTTATCTTCGTTTGTGTTGCAGGAAAGCTCACATTCGAGGCTAGAGAACAGTTTTTGAGTGCTTTAATAGCAGACGGTAAGTTTCTTTCCTCATGAATCTCTTTAGAGAGTCGTGGGACTCCATAAGATTATCCTCCGGAGATTCGGTCTCTAAGATGTAATGACTTTTATCGATATATGGTACTTTGTGCTTATTAACTTCATGAGTGATGAGAATTCAGCAACTTTGTGAGGGTACACTCTGAAGAATACGTTCTACCTATTCATAAATATGGTAATTATCACGTGAATGCAGGGAGGGCCGAATGGCTTGATAAGAATCACAGGAAGTGTCTCATCTTGTGGCGCAGAATAGAAGACTGGGCTGACTCGCTGCTCAACTTTGTAAGACAACTTATACGCAATTCTCATTCTGTAGCTTTCAAGTTCGATGCTGATGGTTGTAGACACTATTGAGTGTTTTCGTCAATTAAAGTCGACATCCTGGATACCTATCTTGCTCTATTTGATCGTCTTTCAACTTGATTAGCCGTTGGCATTCTTGAGCAATCAACATGCATGGTTATGACACATGAATTCTGGTCACTTAACCGTGCAATGCTTATTCTTCAGGTGCGAGAAAATGGAATTGAGTTGATGACATTAGAGGAGATTATATCAGGAGATGAGACATATGGCACAGGTACTTAAGACATACAGCATCTGTGCTAAATTAACTGCGTTCCTTGTCTGCAAACTCCACAATGGGTTGCCAACTTTCTTGGAATCGCATGAGGTGCCTGCCAAGTTTTTTTAGAAAGCAGAACAAACCATTACTTATTGTCCCTCTACGGAATTATTAACGCTCCCTATGTATTGTGTGTGGCTTTACCATTTCCATGTAATTGAACCCCACCTCGAGTCTTTTACTGATACACTTCGTGGTTGCAGAACTTGCTGGACTCGACCGAGGTGTGTTAGTCCGAGCAGTCAAGATCTTGGAGCAGCGTGGCAAAGCAGCAATGTTTAAGGGGTCTTCAACTGATGATGATGGTGTCAAATTCTCACCCAACTAGTTCATGCGTTCCGTCAAAGAGTCAAGATAATCAGTATCATACAAATCCTATTTGTCGTCCAGCCTGAGACACGTTGCTAGTGCTTCATTCATATGCAGCATTCTTTTTGTCTCACCATGTTGAAATGAAGATTTTTACAAGGAAATTTCTGTATATTTACTGTTTCGATATGTAAGATAGATTTAGACAGTTGTGCAAACACCATATGGGTCGTGCAATTTTAAAGTTTTTTCCTCAGTCCAATCGGACTTCCATAATTTATCATGAATGTGAAGCCAAGCATCCTGGTTTAGTGCAACGCTCTTGTTCTTTGCTTCTTTCACCAAGTTAGAGCCGACATCATAATAATATTGTAGTGTCTATCTGACCAAGTGTCCATTGGCATGGTGTGCATAAGCTTTTTACTCAATAGACTTGGTCTCACCCATTTGCTGATTTGTTACATTCTGCCATTACCATATAAATAGATGGTTGTTCTTAGGAGAAAAGAATGTGAATTTTATTTGTAGTTGGAAGTGAATCTATTAATAAGTACTAAAATTCAAACATTCCAAGTGTATGTGAGTTATAAAGTGGCTACTCTTGAAACTATCAAAGATCAAGGTTTTTCATCACCTTACCACCAATACTAAACTTATTTGAAGGTGAAGCTTTTGTAGGACATAATGTTATCAATTTGGCAACTGCATATTTTTTTATTTTAATAAATTTATTAGACAAGATTCCTTGCTTATATGTTGGATATTTAATTAGAAATAGTAATTTGTGTACATAGATAAAATGAAATACAGAAAAAAAAACTAAAGTGGTTATAATCAAAGTTATTTTTGTTAAAGAAATAGATATCTAAAACAAAATAATGATTTTTTATTATTAATATTCCTATTATTTGTATTAATTCTGTATAATGTATGTGGAAGATCAATTATAAGTGAAATCTTTTGAACAAACTTATGACTTTCTATTCATATTTGATAGGTTTACTATAAATAATGATTAAATCTTTAATGTAATTGCACTAATATTATAATTGAAAGAATTATTAACTTTGAGATTTTATTTTAAATTTATGTCATTTATTTTTTAATTTCTATATATATATATATATATATATATATATATATATCCTTATTAAAAAAAAAATTTAAAATCTTAGTTATACATGTATAAATAAGTTTTTATAAAAAGATAGTAATTTAACTAAGATTTCAAAATCTTAGTTAAATAACAACTTTTTTTAGAAAATCGCAAGTTTGGTAATATTGAAAAAATACCAAAAATTTTGATTGTTCACATAAGTTGCTTATAGATAATTGAACTCACCAATGACATGTTGCAATTAATTCTATCTAGTTGCATTACAATTTCTCATTACAAAAACAAATACTAATTTATAGATTTATTTTTATAATCAAAGAGAAGTTGTTAAAAATAAAAATATCTTTTGTTGGTTCTTTATGTGAGATTTTGGATGCTCATAAAAATCTTCAAACAAATCAATAATAAGGACCTTGCTATGCAATGCCATTCAGATTTGAAATTAAAGAAAGCATAAAATTTGTACCTTCTAGGTGTTGGGAATAAATCATATTTAAACTTCTATAGTAAAACCATAACTTTGCACTTGAGTTAATGCATATTCACTTCAAAATGAATTCGCCAATCCTTTGCATATTAAAGTTGCTCAATTTGGATTAATTATAATTTACAATATCACTGAAAGCACAACAAAATAATATCAAATAAAATTGATATTAAATTCAAATATAAGAATATAAAAATCTTATGCTCTAATTCCAAATAGCTTCTGCGATTCAATTATTTGCTTGCTATTTTCTATATTAATGATTTGTAGACAACTAGACTAAACCTTTCAATATATTAGATGATGCTCAATTATTTATACAAAAAATATCAACTATTTTCTTTTTCTATTATAATCTTGCCATTCAATTCATACTATCCACATATTCTAAAAATTTAAAATAAAATAGCTCTTTCATTAATATACATGAATTATTTATTTTATTTATTGTTCATGTACTCTCCAAATAGATCAAATTTGTGCTTTCAAAAATTGACAATTCCTGGACGCCGACCACCCAAACGCAGAGATGGAGGCACGATGGAGAAAGGTCCCTCCTCCCCCTCGGTTGGCAACCCAAGACCGTGAAGCAAGGTAGAGGTCCCTCGGTCACAGGAGAGACCGTGATGCAAGGAAGGAAGAAATACATCGGCCATAGGGTGAGACCGTGCAGATTGGGCTTAAGCTGAGGCCTTGATGCGATGAGAGTGAGTTTCAGTCCCGTCGTCGACTGGCCCTAAAGCTCAATTTTGAAGGAAAGGATCACAAAATTGCACGACAGGCAGCAGCAGCGATGGCAGCTTCGCAACTTCTTCAGCAATCTGCTGTTGTCAGGGTTTCGCATTCTTGCGGCCCGGGTGGTGGTGCTGGTGGTGCACAGACCAACTCCCCACGATACGATGGTTTTGAGGGAATTGTAGTGTGCGCACTGGGACGAGGGCATCGTGGTTTGCGCTTCGGTTAGAATTCGAGGCTTATGAATCTGTTATTTTTTACTTTTGTCCTTAGCCTCATCTCTAGGAAAACAAAGAAAAAAAATTAGAATTATGTCCATGCGGCGCACTCAGAATGTTGAACTTACGAAATAGATTCACCATTCTTACATTGTGAACCCAATTTGCATCGTTTCACAGATGGGGACCGTCCGTGTTCAGTGCGGGCGTCGAACCTTGCGCACTATCTTCTCGAAGGAATGCGCGCAGGCAGCTTTGACGGAATCCTCGGCGGTGGACTATCCAACGCAAGGGGATTACAGGTGAGTGTGTGAGTGTGTGTGTGTGTGGGATTCGAATCAGTTGTGCCCCCATTGTCGTCGTAATCTGCGATTCTCGCACCGTGTAATGTTCTTGTGTTCGTAGCCTTGAGGATGCGAAAGCGTTGTGAACGGGTTCATGGTAGAAATATTGGGGTGCATGCAGTTTGTCGCACAGCAACGGTCAGGGCGAAGCGCACTGTATGGGGATGCGGAGACGTACGTGTTGATGGAGCCAGGGGAGGATGAGCAATTCGTTACAGCTGAAGAGCTTCAAGAAAGACTTAAGGTAACAACAACAACAACAACTACAACAACAACAACAACCACCATCTCTTCCATTCGATTCGTCTTTGCATGTGATGAAAATGTGTTTGTGTGTGTGTTTGCTGGGCTGCTGCTGCCATTTAAATGCATCGATGACCTCCTATTGCTGAATCATCTGCAACTAATTGTGAGCAATATTGGCGACAGAATTGGTTGCAAGAATGGCCTGGCGAGGAGCTCCCCGTAGACCTAGCAAAGTTTCCAACGTTAGACGAAGCAGTGCAATATCTGTTGAATGCAGTGTGCGAGCTCGACCTCGGAGATGGCCAGGGATCCATCCAGTGGTTCGAGGTGCGCCTGGATTAGGGCGTTGCCTTTCTTCCACTTTTTGTATCGTTTTCTCGTTCTCAACTTACTCTAGAAACTCAGATGTAGGTGCAAATTTTGTAGTCATTTACTGTTATTCATTGTTGTTCTTGAGATATTCCTGTAATATCACCACATAAATGAAGAGCAGGAGGAGGAGCAGAGAAAAATCTTCAATCGGAGCTCACTTTTGTGAAATTGTTGTTGTGACTGTCGTGACCTATTTCATACAGTTTTCTCTTCTTTCTTTTTTTTTAAACTAATGGTCATATGCAATGGCTGGTCAGAGACTAAACGAGACTTGTAGTCTATGTTTCCAACTTCTCATTTTTCAGCAAGATCCTTAAGAACTTGAAGAAATATTCAAACCTCTTCAAGTATTTAAATTAGTAAATATTATTTTCTGTCAGTCTCTGTCATGATAGAGTGTTTTCTTGGTCCCGTAGTCTAGCGGTTAGGACATTGGACTCTGAATCCAGTAACGCGAGTTCAAATCTCGCCGGGACCTCTCGTGGAGCTCCAGCTTGAGGGGTCTGATCAGTTCAACATTGGTAGTAGTTTTTAACTTAGATGACATCTTTCAAAATATTGGGAATGGAAGATTTCATTTGGGTATTAAGGTTGGGACTTAAGATTATAGGGCTGGTTTATAGTTTAGAGATGGATTTTGATACATACGAAAAATGATTCTTACATGATTATTGGTCTTAGAACATATCTTTTGTCTAAAAATATTGAAATATAGTTTTTAAAAATTCCTTGGTCAACAACATATATATGTATATACATATACATATACGTATAATTTCTTTTGTTTAGATAGTCAAAATCTGATACTTAGACATAATTACAAAATATAATAATGATAAAAATAAAATAATAAGCTTTAAATCTAATCCACATGGATCAATTCAAAATATTATATATATATATATATATATATATATACACACACACAAATTGAATCAATTGTTGTATAAGCATAGATATTTGCAATAACTTTTTTAATGAACCAAAAGAATAATTATCAAAGTACAAACATCATTTTGGTAATATAAATCACTATCACAATTTTATTATAAATGAATTTCAAAGACATTTTTTTCTATGTGAATCTTTTTGTATTTCAAAATTTCTTAAATTTCAATATTACAAACTCATATAACCTTAATTTTTTTTTAGAAATGTAATATGTAGACTGCTTACTAGTAACTCCTAAATTTACAGTAACTTTTTTATTACTTGCATATAATCTTTAATGCATTATTCCACAATATTTTTATTTTTACTTTGTTTTTGTTTTAAACCAACTCTTATAACAAAGATATATAAATAGAGATGTATGCACTTTTAGAAAGTAATCTTCTCGTACTAAAAAACAATTAGACATTGTAACAACCGATTCTCTCTACTCTTTGTTGCATTATGGTTTTGGAATTGTTACAAAGAGGCAACAAAGTAGACAAATATACAAAGTAATAAATTTTAATATCCTAAAGATGCTATACTGCCGAAGACTCTACTGAAATGTACCTCATCTTCGATTCCTGACACGTTATTATCCCTCTGCAAGTGGAATCCTTGTAAATCTTTGACTCAGGAGCCTTCGAGCAGATTCGCGAAGGTAGCTGCTTCAGTGAAATACCAATAAAGCTGCACTGCGTGAATTCCGCACATCAAAGGAACAAATGTGTCTTTGGTTCGAGGAAACAAGGTAATCCAACATTGCAATGGAAGGAAACAGTGTGCAGAACACGTGCAAGTAGACATGGGCACTAGCCGTAACGTCCATTTGATTCCATTACTTCGCCACAATTACTTCTATGAGTCCCCTTGCAAGTTTCTACCTCCAAAGTAGAACGTTCATGCATGTGTAGTGCTTGCCAAGCACGCCCACATGCAGCGGATAAAAGGGCAAAATGTCCCACAAACAGTTGAAGCAGTTATCACATGCAGGTGGAGTTGAACCATGGTTAGCTAACCTAGAAAGCGATTTACAATCCTTTCATTGAAGTTCCATCAAACGTCTGACAGTCAGATTCAAATTCCAAGTCGTGTATGAGCAGGCCGCAATCGACCATTTCTGAAACACAATTACTGCGGTCATATTACTAGCGGATGCTCCTAAGATCTGGAGAAATCGAAAGCCCGTGGCAGAAGGATAAGTAGATTGAAAGATAGAAGAACCAGTAATTAATGGATTAAAAAAAAGAAAAAAGAAAAAAGAAAATAAAAGTAATTAGCATGCACTCATTTGCTTTAGCAGCAAATATTAGCCGCAACGATGTAGCGAACACAGCTCATTTTTATTATAAATAATGAACACTCCCTACTCCATCGAGTTCGGAGACAACCTTGGTAAATTGATGGAGGGAGTGAAAAAACTAGCAATATACACTGACACAAACAACCCGGTGAGGGAGTTGTTCAAGCAAAACGTCAATGAATGGTGTCTACGCACAGGAGCGCAACACAGTCTCAAGGCAACCAACTTTATATCCTACAAACTGTCGCAGATAAAAACTTCGACAGGTCGCTACTCGAAGTCTCCATTCCCTTGTTAACCGAAACACAAGAACAGCGTTAGTCACCGAAGTAAGCATGTCCGTTCGAAAACCCTACAGGAATCACCTTCCACATTTATCCCGAGATGCTGTCCTTTAGAGAAATGAAATAGATTACAATTCACATTAAAAACATGAAAAGACAAAATTCCTAAGCTGTTTCATCACAAACAACATGAAAGAGAAGCGATTGAGCGTTGTACCAGCTGTGCATCTCCTCTGTATATATCAGGTCACTTTGGATTGAAAGGTAACAATTCTCAACATCCGCCCACACGTAAAGACCCAATGTGCATCAGAACTAACCTGTGCACACAGTACTGAATGCCAAGGGCTTAATAAATTTCTACTGCTATCAGATTATAAAAAGAACCACTATCCAAATGTTTTCAATTGTTTGAAAATAAATTTCACTTTAAGAAAAATAAAAACCTAGACGTCAGGAAATGTGGAATCGCAGCAGCTAGGGTGTCAATGAGCACAAGTTGTCTCAACTTGACTCATCACCCACGGATAACTTTTCAGCTTTTAATTTCAATTATATGAATATGTATGTTATTATTCTTATTATTATTATTATTATTATTATATAAGTAAATCGGCTTGGTTTACTGGTATGGGCAACATCTCCATGCATAATGGTGATGTATGCAATCATATCAAATGATTGCACGTACATTTCGACGCTTACACCACCATGTCCCTTCGTCGCTTGGGTCTATCCTGAGTTTTTAGCATGTGAGCAGAAACACTTCAATTTGAGTCCACTTCCATGGTCAGTTCCATAGGCATCCCTGACAAAGCATCCAACGTGACTGACATACAACTTATTCACTTCCATGAGAACGGAATGATGAAGTTGATTGTGCAGAAATTGACGCTGTCGGACTGCCGACTTGTGTATTCCATTCTTCCAGAAGCACGCGAACTGCTTCTTGAGCTGCATTTAAAAACCACTCATCTTCTTGCAACACACTGCAAGAAAACAAGGTATGCTTCAGTAAGAGCGTTTAGAACCCGCAGAAACAATAGGTGGTTTTCAAGACTGGAGTCTTCAAATGAAATTATTTTCAGCTTTGTAGGTCCTCACCCTCAATACCGGCACTGACCTCCTGAAGCATGGTTGGAGGCAAGGCGAAAGCTATTTAGCGTTAGGATCCACACTGTAAAATGCACTATTCTTTAAGGCACATTTACCATCCTCGTCGTCGTCAGCAATTGATTTTTTTTTTTTTTTTTTTTTTTTTTTTTTCTTTTTGTGACGAAAAGGTTCAGCCGGTTGGTGGGTTTTACCTGTGGGGATCACTTCCTGTCGCTGCAAAAGCAGTAACAGCCCTCGCTGTGACATCATTAACCACTTGGCGCATGTGTCTTGATGAAAACCGACCGTTGAGGGCAACCTGAATGATAAACTGCATATCCAAAACAAACTGGATCCACAAAATACTAGTAGTATTAAAATCAGCTTACCGGGCATGTTCATAACTGATATAGTAACCATGCACAAACAATCTAACTGAAATTACTAGTCGACAATCTTCACTATTACATTCAACCTCGGACCCTGCTTCAGACTCAAAAAGTCTATGCTGTCCATAGCTGATGAATGTTACCGTCCATCATCCAACAAGAATAAGATCAATCACAACACGAATGTATGTCATTTTTAAAATGTCACAAAAGCTATTAGTACAAAGATGAGCAACGCAAGACCGTACTTGTTGTAGACCGATGGGGCCAAGACTATTCTCCCCATCTTCTATGACATTCCAAAATTCCTGATCTTCTGACAACCAGATTATTAAGGTTTCGGTAAGTCGCATGAGCAACACAACCACCACTCTTTCTCTTCCTGAAAGCAATTCTGCAGTTGTGTGCTGGATAGAGGTCAGTTTGTGAAATAAAGCCTGCAAAGTCCACATACTTTGAGTGTAAGATTTAACAGGCAGGACGAGGACAAGCAAAAATAGCAGAAGTCTGAACCAAAAGAAGTTTCGAGAAAAAAAATCCAGACGTATTCATGCTGTCAGTCGAGAATGAAGGAAAATGAGAAGAAACAAACATGCAACACAAAGAGCACCTTAAATGCCAAAAATACTCACCTGAAAGACGAGAGATGGCATTGGTTCTTGGTGCCAGTTGGGGTTTCCACCACCATTATCAAGATTCAAGTAGGTGTCAGGGCTGAGTTGAGACTCGGGTTCATCAGAGAAATATATTAACTCAAGAACATGATGTCTACATAGATGGTCTCTAAGTCTGTCAACTTCTCTCTGTAACCTTCGCCTCCAATCCTTGAGCTCCGGTAAGCGATGTGCCACGGTTCCAAGTTGATGTCTTTCTGCCAAACAATTTTTGAAGGTACAATCAGTTAAATAACACCGTTGCACAGGCCACGTAAGTTGAATGCAGTATATATATATATATATATATATATATATATATATATACAAAGAGACACAATAAGCGATTAGTAAGGGAGGCCAATGATGATTACCTTGATCCCTATCACGACCTCGGCGGGTTGCTGATCGCAAATCATCTCTGCTCATAACTGTCTGCATACCACCTGGAACCAACTTGGAGGCAGCTCGAGGTAGAAATTCATCAGCGAGCGCAGAGACATTTGCAAGAAGTGCCAATTGTTGACTCTCTGTAGTTGCGGGTCGAACCTGCAATAGTCAACTAGACTTGCAAAATTCAGAATATATCTTGGTAGATGCACCTAAGAAAAACCACAACTGTGGGTATCTAATAATAATAAAATGACATCTCAACTTCTCTCCTATAGTCTTTTAGGTGGTTTTTCGGAACTATCCCTGGTTTCATGTTCTAAAGATGTTCTCCCATTCAATCATTCTCAACTTAAACCATTACCCCGTCCAAAAGCTTTAAATAGCATTTGCGACCGATAAAAACAGCACATGCTAAAATTAAAAATGTAAACTTTATTTCTTAGAAATTTTCCAACACTCTCACCTTCCGAACCTCTCCATTCGGTGCTCCACCTTCCTCATCCTCCCCAGGACTGGGAACAGCCTTAATTAGCATGTCAACATAATGGTCAAAAAGCATAGAGAGACCATCTAGTGTAGGACCTCCGAGCTGCATGCTGATTAAGGGGGCGACATCTTCCAAAAAATCCTGAGCGAGATAGAACTTACATATTCAGTCTGAAGAAGACAAATGATCGAACTCATAAATTCAGAAGTAGAATATTTACCCCATTGAGAGCAACAGTAAACTCGCTTACCATCAATATCATAGAGCTAGACAAAAGTGAGAGCATCAAGTAAACAAGGCTAGGATAAAAGTACAGATCAATCACTAACATACAAACATTCGTCAAATAAGACTTGGTAGCGACCAAAATATCCTTCATGCTTCCAAATTTGAAAGCAAATCAGGTTTGTAAAAACAAACCTGCACCATAAAGTTGAACCGGTGCGCACTGCTGGACAGCTTTACATACGAACCATGTCCAGCGCCATAAGAGGACCTCGTTCCATATGAACCGCGCAACATTGCACCTGGATGACTAAGCACCCAATCATCAGCTGCTGCCAATGCACCCACACTCTCTTCAATTCTAGTCAAGTTAGCGTCCAAAGCTTGCTCTACACTTGGCCTCACGAGCTTGGAGAGGACTGGGCAAAGAGCCAGTCCTTGGTCCTCTAATAACAGGCAATGACCAAGGGCGATCTGCACACATTCAGCAGCCGCTCGTAAACCTCCAGCAGCAGCCGAAGACGACAGGACATTTCTTTTCACCAAAGAAGCAAAAAGCTCGGTTTGTGAGCGAGCCCACAACACCAGTTCTGAGGCATATGCGGGTTCTTCTCCAAATACTGCCACCGAATCTCTAGAAGCCTGCAGAAAGCAAAGCATTAACAATAGGACAAGATCGCTTCAGACGCTCTCCGATAATCCTAGGTGCTGGTCACAGTATCAACTAGATTTGCATCAACATCATGCAAATTTATATCAACGGAACCGACACACCACATAGGTATCGCCTAGCAATATCTTGTCTGCAGACACGCAACAAACATGAGATGTACAAGTCCAGTTCAGTAGATAATATTATATCTAAGAAAAAGAATATACCTGGGCGATTGCAGAGAAAACTAGCTGGGAGAGAGCAGCAGTGTAAGCCCCACCATAAGATGTCCCACTAGGACGAAGTCCTGTAATATTGTGCTGAAGCCTCTTGTGATGAGAACGCAACAAAAGAGTGTGTGCTCGTGTTCCGTCACCCAATTTATCCAAAGCTGCTAGTGCAGAACGTAGCTCTGAACCTCTAAAGAAAGGTTGCTGAGTGGCTTCTGCAAGTTGCTCAGCTAATCTAGCTCTTCTCTCAGACAAAGCTAACTGTAATTGTGAAGCTGCGGCAGAGCTCATTCTACCCCCGTGGCCATTCGGGTGAAAAGCCTCTGCAACAAGTCTATCACCTTCTTCTAAAATCTGCAGGGCTTGATTTATTTTCTTCTCAGCTAGTAGAACATCCAGAGAGTCTGGAATAGCCTGAGCTTCCCTTTCTAACTGTGAAGGTTCCGTTTCATGCTGAGGAAGACCCTTTCCTTCCGTATCAGTCACCGATGTATTGCTTGCAATTGTAGAAACCCCACTTTCTGCCAAGCTACGAACAAGTTTTGCCTGAGATTTTAGAAGATTACTCATGGCGACAATCTCACCCTCTACATCGGATATCTCACGGGAAGTCCTGCCATACAAATGAGACAGAGTGAAAAGACATTATGTTAGAGAACGATAAAATTGGGCTGAATTGTGTACAAAAATAATAACTTGAAAATCACATCAATCATCGACGTAAGTTACTGCGATGGCAAGATGCTCGAAGCAGAGCGTGCAGCGGTACATAACCAAGAGGAAATTCTCCGTGCCAGAGGTATGACCAACCGCAAGTTGTATTTGACTCAAAATTACAATAGCTCTTGTAGTGAGGCTGGAAGGTCCAACTGAAGGACGCTTGAAGCCATTCCAAACAATCTGGATATTCCAGCTTGCCATATCTACAGCTGGAGAATTCGTGATGCACAGCAGCAATTTAGTTCCTGGATATTTTGACCGATGCAGCTCTCTCCTAGAACATTGCACTGTCTATCACAGAAATATGATTCTCTACCCACAAAGCTGGACCCAATTGACGAGGCGTGCGAATGCTGTGAGGACATTTAAATTCACGTATATGAATGAGGAAATTTATTACAAGAATGAGGCTGTGACCATAGAACATTGCAATCAAGTGGAGATGATGCAATTCGAACTCAGAAATCGAGGTCTGCATTGTCGTTGAACATGGTAAGTGCCATGCAGAGGGAGTGATAAGGGAGGACGATGAACCTTATGAAAGCTGCATAATTAGCGTACACGCTCTTGCGCATTTCTTCTGCAGACGACTTTTTCAAATCCAGTAGATCACCGCACAATTTGCGTATGTCCTATGAATCGGGAGGAAGAAGGAAAAGAATGGTCTCAATAGCCGCAACCAGCAGAATATATAACTTACTTCCCAAAAAGCAATGGAACTACCTTCACCATTACATGGAACAGTGCAAATACCTCAACCTATTTCTGCGACGTCAGCATGTATAGAAAGCAAACTTTTTGACACGATTGTATTGAAAAGGCGAGCTTCCTAACACCACGATTGCAGGATAGAGAACAAACCTTTTCACTCATAGATTGACACTTAGAATGTACATAAGCCTGGGCATCAAACTCCTCTTTCTCAAAAGCAGACAATTCATGACGCAGATGATTAATGTGGCCATTGGTAGTGGGAGTTCCATTAATAACGCCGTTGCTTCCAGTCGATTCAGCGACATTTGAAGTAACTCCAGAGCCTCGATACCGAACAGAAGGCTTCACCGAGCCCATTGCTCCACCCAAAGATGGCACTACAACCTTTCGCTCTATCTGTCAAAAGTATATGCAACCTCAATTATGAGCTGCATAGGTAAGAAACTGAGATACACAACGCTTCTACCCTAAACGCGCGAAATTCAAACTAAAGAACTTCCCAATTTGATTCGACGCGATAATTCCAAGAAAAACTCCACTCCAGGCGCTACACCAATCAAAACCATAACCTAGATATCATCGAGTAGTCTAACTTTTAAAAAATAACAACAATTTTTCCAAAAATAAAATAAAAAAACCTCCACCATTAGGCCCAAATCCCTTGAAACACCCACATTCGTCTGCACTTAGTGCCTTGTGGAGTACACATGAATGAACCAACAGAAAATCCAATACTAACTGTGCACACTCCCTCAATACATTCGAAAGAGCTCTCTCGGTGTCCCTGTCTTACACTTCCCCCCTTCTCACTCCAACCTTCGAGGGATTTCGTGCTTACAATCGCGAAAATTCCAGCCCAGCGCCAATCCGTTCAACCTCCCACTTGCATAAAATCCCCGCGATCCCCCGGACCGCCGCACCACGATCTCCTCTACGCTCTCAGAAACTCCTCACAATCCCCGAGTGCTCCAAACTCACGAGAAACGGCAACCTAACAACGAAATTCCCCTGTCAAAATCCAGATCACCTCTCCTCGGGCGCGCGTCCCTCGTCAGTCTACAAAGCACCTCAAACTCAGACAAGGTCCCTGTCCGCTTGGATCCAGCAACATGAACCTCGCCTCAAAGCGGCAAAACGAAACGAAACGAAACAAGCAAGCGAATGGGTAAACGAAGTGAAGACACGTCCGGGCAGGACATGAGGGCAGCGTGACGAGGGGCTCCTATCCGACTGGCTAACTAGCTGGCTGGCTAACTGGCTAGCAACAGAGTCGACAGGCTACAGCTTCCCCGTGCCTGGACATCATAGCTGTCAAATTTGTTACAAAACTTGAAAGCTCTCTGAGCACGACGACGACGAAGACGACAATGCACGCAGGCAGAATCCTCACTTTCCTTCGATGTCGACGATATTCGTCAAAATGACTGAGTCATCCGCCTATCATCCACTCGGCCACAGGTTGCTGACACCCAAAGCTCCCTGTAACCGTGCTATCGAACCTAAATCCATGGGCTCTTCAAAAATCATGTGGAATCTTTCTAAATGTCTTGAGCCCTTTTCACACCGGTGGACGACATGCTGGTACCATCAATAAAGTGCCGAAAAGGTATCAAGATTTTGTATAAAAAATAAATTTTCTTATACTTCTGATCACTTGTACAAGTTGATTGCAAAGTTTAAATGTTTCTTTTCTTTGTCATGGAACATAAATCTAGATATTATTATGTAAAATCAATTATTTAAATACAAAAAGAAGACACCAATTTAATTTTGTGATATTTATCAATTGTTAAACTTTATTGATTAAAAAATATCATCATTAGAAAACATTCAAGTGTAAAAGATACTACTTTGTGTATGGATAGAGGTGTCCATACAATATGAGAAGGGTGTCTATGCAACACAAGAAAGGTGTCTACACAAAAAAAAGAAAAAAAAAAAAAAAAAGGGAAGAAGAAGAAGAAGAAGAAGAGGGTGTCCACCTAGTGTTTCTAAAATAATATTACATGTGCATGTAATATTATAATATACTATTCTAACATGCAACCTTTATTTCTCAGTAATTTTAAAATAAATAATTTTTTATGACATATAGTAACTTTCTATGATTTTGAATTTGGATTTTTTTTTTCAAATTAAAACAAAATGTAAGACGTGATTCCACTATACAAACAATTTAAATAATACTTGGAGAATTCAAGGTATTTAGAAAATTACAAATATATAAATGTCTATATATATGTATATATATATATACATAAACATATTTAAGCAATTATATTTTGCATAAGAACTTATCTTATCTTGATAATATATAATTTTCTGGTTTATCAATAATAATAATAATAATAATAAAGTATTATATATTATCAAATATTTTTTGATATGACATCCACTTAATAAACTGAACTGGATACCTAGATGATTTAACAAATATTTTTCTCCGTGTATAAGTGCTCCTTCAAGTAAATAATAAAAATGTATTCAAATATGTGAAAAAATAAGAAAATAATTAAAAATATTGGAAGGAAAATAAATAGTATGAACACTCTAGGATTTTAAAACAATGCTTTCTATCAAAAATAATAATTTATTGACAAAAAAATTACATTTTACCTTCGGCTAAACATAAAAGTATCTGTGTTTTCCCATCCACAGTCACAAGAAATTTATATCGTTGACAATTATGACAGACTCGTTACAAGTATCATTATAAGACAGGTATTCAAGGAATATTTTTTCTGGAAGTAACATGCATGCATGCATGGACATAATTGTACTGCGACTGTAGACAATGGTTTGGCATTTGAATTCTTTTGGAAAAATGTGCTGTCGAAGCGAACAAAGACGAACACTCCCCCTCTGATCAAGACAAAAGGGGGATAGTGGGAGGGGGAGGTCCAGTCAGCACGCGCGGGTCCAGTCAGCAAAGGACGGGCCCAGTCAGCAGCAGGGAAGGGCCCCACCGAAGGATGCTCCCAATTTTCTAAAGTGGGGACCGAGAGGACGGGCCCATGAGGGGGAGCGAAGATTCGAAATGCGGCCATCTGGGGGAACACACACTGATTGATTCTCCACGGCGACTGGACCAGATCTCGCATCTCCCCCGCGGCCATGGGATCCGACATTCTCGCACGGCCAGCCGTCGCTGTTCTGGCGGCTCACTATTGAGTACCAGCCCGTTTGGTGCGCACCACGTGGCGACGGCATGATGGTCAAACCGGTCAACACCCGCCAAAAGGACGGAATCAGGAAGGCGCTGTGTGAACGCGACTTCGAAGGGATCGAAGCGAGGGGAAGCGAGCGAGGGAGGGAAGGGAGGGGGGCTTCAGGAAGGAAGGAGGGAGGAGGAAGCCCACTACTACTACTGCGACTACTGTGAGAGTGAGTGAGTGAGTGAGTGGCGCCGTTGTAAGTGAACGCTCAATTCCGAATAATTGATGGAAATGAGATGGTGATGAATGGAATTGGTGTTCGGGGCGCCGCAGAAGTGAGAGAATAGAGAGAGAGAGAGCGAGCGATTGAGGCGAGGGAGCCAATGAGGAATTTAAAATTTTACACTTCTTTAAATAATTTTTCACATTTCTGGCAAGGGTCACTGTAGGGCGCCTTGAATTCTACGCCAGCGGAAGAAACAGGACGAGTGCGGGGGGTGGGGGGAGAGTCGTCGGAAGAGTGGAAAGTAAGTGTACGAGATTGATGTTGTGAGAGGGACTGTAAGATGAGAGAGAGGAAGAGAGAGAGAGATTGATCTGGCAGGCAGGGAGGGAGGCAGGCACGCGTGGTATGGAGGGGAGAGAGGGTTAGCAAGTTATAATTTGAATCCGGAGGAGTGGGAACAGAAGAAGAAGAAGAAGAAAAGGGGGAGAGAGAGAGGGAGAGAGAGAAAGAGTGAGGGAGGGAGGGGGGTATATAATTGAAATGGAGGGAGGAGAGTGGGGGGGGGGGAGTAGTACCAGGGATTGATTGGCAGGGGTAGCGGAAGGAGAGGAGGGTTTGGCTACATTCCACCCCCTTTTAAATGGAACGGTAGTAGCTTTTGTTAGCCTGGCTGGGATGGGAGCGTGGGTGATGAATCAATCGGTCCCCCCCCCCCCCCCCCCACGAGAGGAGAGAAGATACCGACTGACCCTTACGCGCCTGAGTGATGATACTCTCTCTCTCCCTTGGTGAGCGGGCCCGGGAGGAGGACAGAATTCCTCCCCATCTTAAGTTTATAATAACACCAAAATTGGAGGCTATGATGCCATTTTGTGACTGGAAAAGGGTTTGAAAGGAGGGTGGGGGGATTGATCAGCAGAAAGTGAGGGGCGAGTTCTTTCTGTTGGGAGGGGGAGGGGGAGAGAGAGTGTGAGAGAGAGAGAGTTAGATCACTCCCCACGGGGTGGTTAAGAATCTCAATCTATCCGGCTCTAAAGGAAGGCAGGCAAGGCGTACATTTCTATGGCGTTATAAATGGTCAGCGCGGTCCCCCCGTCACACCTCAGCCTGCAGATCTGAGGCGAGATAGGGCTTACACTTATGTACCAGATTCTCATGATCCATGCAGCTGATGGGTCCTTTGGTTCTCTCTATCACCTTACGCCCTTATTCCCATTCGGCGTGTTCATCGTCTGTTTATTATTATTGCCCTAGTTGTCTTCGTTGTGGTTGTTTTTCTTCCAGGCTTGCATCTTGCTGCGTCTCCGCCCGCTCGATCGTCGCTCTGGGGACTGTTGGCGCATTGCAGTGCGCACGGGCTGTGCCAGGGGTGCGATTAGGAGTTGGGTTTTGGCTATTCCGCCTGTTGGAGGCTGCTTCGAGAGTTGGGTTATGGAGAAGTGGTGGTGGGATTGAGGGGTTTGGATTTGGGGTTGGAGCGTGCGTTTCGTTGCTGGAATCGGTTGGGGTTGGTGCTGCTTGCGAGGCGGTGTTTTTTGGTTCTGGTGGTGGTGGTGGTAGTAGGGGGCAACCTAATAGCAATATTTATACGAGTGCTCCACAAGGCTTGGGGTTCATCAGTGTTCAACCGTCTGGGCATGTGTGGGATTCTTGCGACTGACTGACGGACACTCGCTTGGATTTCTAACTTGAGAACAAAAGGGATTTGAATCGGTATATTTTTCCACACATTGGGGCATCCATGTTGAAGTGGCAACCTCAACCGGGGGGTTTTTTGCATTTAAGTGCAACAGCAATTAGGTTTCTATACAACTGCGATCATTGCCTTGGAAGTGGTTATACGGTTCGTCCTTAATTAGCATTGTGTATCAAGTTCGTCTTTGTTCCGGCCTTTGGTGCTCTTTCGATCTGGACTCTGGAAGTTGGCAGAACTGATGCCTCCTTGTTTCAGCCACGCGGGACTGGAAAATTTCGACGGAACGGGATTAGATTCAGAATTTGGTGATTGACAGGGTGATGTTCACGAGGGGCATGGTCGAGCACTGAACGCACAAAGCCTGGTGAGGCTGAGGCTCTTGGAGTATTTTTTTTTGGGGTTCACAGGGTGTTTGCATATCTGGATGCTACGTTGACGATTTTCGAACCATTTTTCTGGTGTGCAAATTCAAGTTTTTCTTTGATCAATGTTGGTGGGGGGTTCAGCATATTCACGCCGGTTGACATAATTATTTTCACGTGGAAAGTGCTCTTCCTTTTCCTTAGAGCATCGGCTTTTAAGCTATTACTAGAATTGAATTGCTCTAAAATGTCGAGAGCTACTACTGCTGGTTTATCGAGAAGCGGAAAAGTGAAGACCGTTCGTACGTTACTTGCTGTGATTTGCGGGAAGAGGTCAAAAAATAATCTCTCTGGTCATGAGGTGGAAAACGATCGAAAAATTGAAAGGCACGCAAATGGTTATACTCTCCATGAAAGCAGAAGCAACAGCGGCCAACTTCAACATCAGTTCGCAGACCTTGAGACGTCTGGATACCTAGAGGTTTGTACTATCGCATGATTCTTACTGGTCTTAGATTGGTTTCTGATTAGGATTTACGCAAATTGCCTTTGAGGCTTTCGAAAGAGCATATCTATCAGTCTCAAGGCCCTGCCCACAGTTCACGTAGAACCTCAAGAGTTATATCAAGGTTTGTATGGAACAGAGAGCAGTGCCGTTTGTATTTGTAGCCAGTGAGGATCTTTGTTAATAAAGTTCTCTGGTACTTAGCTGTAATGAGGGACTTCGATCGGTGGAATACGTTAGGACAGCGGTAGGTCAACTTTTTGAAGTTATTTTTTCCGTCGCGTAGCCATCTTTACTCAATGCAGCTAAGAGAGCAAAGTATGGAATTTGATTTTGTTGAGGATCTGGCAGAAGTGGTGAGGTTGTGAGATATTCTAGCGTTACATCTGCAACATTTATGCAAAGGAAGCTCGATGTTATGGATCTGTTGTTGATAGGTGTCCAAACGAGACGGAACATGGCCCTATCTTTGTGGTCTAATGCATCTGTCTACGTGAGACAGTTATCTGCAACTACTGCTTGGGCTAAGGAGATTGCTTTGATATTTTATTTGCAGGTCCACATAATAGATGATCCTACAAAAGAAGAGTTAGGGTGGAAACTTGAAAAGCTACATCCTGATTTCCTTCTTCTTCATGGCGAGTGTTCGTGTAGCAAAGATGATATCGGTGGGCTTGTGCTTCGAGATGGAAGCCAGCTCTCAGCTGATGCCCTTGCATCCTTGTATGGTGCTAAGGTTCCAAACTTGGTACATCACCTTGTCTGGACTATTCGATTCCTTCTTTTCCTGTTTGGGGCCTGTTAGTAGTTTGGGTACTTGCATGCTTAAGGAGTACAACTGTTTTCTAGAGGTGGATTTACAGCTGTGGAACACTGATTGTTTTTGTTTTTGTTTTTTTTTTTTGTTTTTTTTGTTTTTTGTTTTTGTGTTTTCAGATATATCTAGAGACTTCTGGGGCCAAGCTTGGTGATGCCCTGCGTTCTCAGGTTGGTCCCGTTAATATGTGACTGCTCCTTTGTATCTTTACTGATTCAGAGACCTTATAAACACTCTGATCGGAATTATTTCAAAGCCATAACCAATGCACTACTCATACATGAGTGGAATGAACTTGAATCCCCTGGTTTTAAGTTATAGAATAGTGACATGCTGCTGAGAACAATGAGATTGGTGCAGAACAGCAGTAGATTCTAGATTAGTAAGGAAGACAGTTGGTCTGTGCACACATTAAGTTTTATTATTTGTTCAGCAGCATATTTTTTGAACCAATATAAGCTAGTGGTTTGCGGACAATCTTGTTTCTTTTACCGATTTTTTCTTGTGAGTAATAGCTTTCTGCTTATTGCTGCAGGGTGTACCCCATGTGATTTACTGGAAAGGGGCTCCAACTCTCACGCTTGCCTCTCACTTCCGTCAAGCATTATTGGCTGCTCTAAGAAGGTAATATATCTACGTTTTAGGACTCTGATTGCGCTCTCTTAGCTTATTTATTACTTTTACGGTCTTTAAAACTATCTCATCCATTTTGTACATTGTTTCAGCATGTGTAAAACAGCAAACTTACACGCTGAGTCTAATATCAGTGCAAAGATGTTTATCTCCTGGAAAGGTTTTCTTGTATCATTTGTAAATTTGAAGGTAGAGTGCACCTGACCATATGTACATCCTCTTTTTTACCAGCTCTGCAACAGAAGCCAAAGATGCCTTTCAAATAGCAAATGCATCTTTTCAGATTCATTGTGGGCAAACTAAGACTGCCAGCGTCAACGGTCATGAGAAGGCAAGCAATGTGTTGCCTGTGCTTCTGGCACCTGCGGATCCTAAGGCTTCAGATGAGGATTCATCTACCTCTGCTGATGAGGAGGATGAGAAACAAACCATACCCGCTGACTCTGCACCCGTTCAAATATACGACGACGACATCAATATCCGACTTCTAGTTTGTTCCGAAGCTAGTCGACCGGTATGTCTGTTGAACCTTCGTCCATTGGATGTTCTAACTTAGATATTCCTATCTTTTGTGGACTCCTATTGCACCCAGCCTCTTCGTGTATGTTATGGTGAGTTTTTAATGTAAGTTGTGCTTGCTTTTCAACGTCTGTAATACAGTTTTCTTCGGGTTTGCAATGGTTATTGCCAGATTTTAGATTTACGTTGATTTCCGCAATTTCGAAAGAGCAGGGGAGGGAAGTGAGAGCGCGATCATGGAGGATTTTTGTGATTTATATCACCAAACTCTAAAATGAGCTGCAAAACATGTTCAGTACATTCTAACTATCTGTTTTGTACTCATTCCATTTTGTGCAGACCCCTGCTTGGTTTGCAGCTCTTGAAACCGGATTGAGTGCGCTTTTGACAATTGAGGTACTCATTTGACGTTTCTAAGAGGCTCTAGTCCTATCTTGAGTCGTTTTTTGTATTCTTGGACTAAATCACTTTTGTGGTTAGTGGTCAGTTTCCAAGTACTGACTGCTGCATCCGTTTTGTGTTGCTTTGCAGGCGAAAGGAGTCCGTCTTTTGCATCGTGCCAGGTTGGTTGTTTGGACAAGTGTTTTGTTGTGTCTGGGATATAAACATCAATATACCAGAATTTGGTAAAGACGTAGTCGTTTAGATAACTAGTTCCTAGAGGTGGTAGGGAGCATGTACAATGAGTTTCTTTCCGACATAGCCCGACGGCGGGCCTTTGTTCTCTGCAAATTTTCTTTTTCTCGCTCTTGTGCTCAATCTTTTTCGTTCTACATCTTGAGACAAGGTCATTTAATTGTCTAGCTGATGCAATGTCCTTTTAGAACGTGGACTGAAATAATCAGTTACATCACACATGCAGTGCTCCGGCACCACCTCAGGCGGCTTCATCCTTACATCGTGGAGTTGTCACCATGCGTTGTGACATTTGTACAACAACTTTTGCTCGTATTGCTCTGCTAGTTTCGGGAGCTGCTCAGACGTGCTTTGACGATCAGGTGAAGGTTCAACATTACTTCAGGGCGTTGTTTGTTGATGCCCATTCTACACCTTTTGATGTTATTGATCGCATGAAAGTGTGAGTGTTCACCAATGAGACCCATTACTAATGTAACGGTGGACTTTCATTACAGCTGCTAGAGAACAGTGTCCGAAAAGAACTTTTGGAAAGGTGTGTAAAGATCCGTTTAGTTGAGGATAGTGAATCTCAGAAACCTCGCTTGAACCATAATTTGAGGCGTTCGGTTTCTATTGCAAGTGGTTCCTCAGTTGTGGAGCTGAAGATCAGGGCTCCTACATGGGTTGGGCAGGTATTGGATTCAATGTCTTCCCTATTATATTTAAGCCACTAGAAAGCACAGTTCTGAATGAAGTTTTCTTCAGTTTTGCAGTATGTTGTGACAAGGAGATTGGGATCTTTGCTGCAGAGAAAGACAGATTTTTCTAGTGGGTGCCTTGATTTGTAGGTACCTTCATGTTCACGATTCTATGCTAAATGGTAAACATGTAAGCAACCGCTTTCTTACGTTAGAATTTCTTATTTGTAGGTACTGAGACAGCTGGCATCTGAACCATCCTACCGTAGTCTAGTGGCACTTGGAATAGCTGGTGTTGAAGGAGCACCTGTAAATGCATTTTTGAAAGAGGATTCTGCTCACTTAGTTTCTTTAAAACGTTCGCGGGACTGTCCATCCATTAAAGAGATTCCCAGTAGTTCATCTGTACCTTCTTGGTTGACCCCTCCACCTGCGAGCAGAAAAAGGATGAGGGTTATTTCATCTCATTCAACTGATAGCTTGAAAGAGCACGATAGGAGATCGTCAAGAGCTAATGCGGATGCAGGTACTTAAGTCGTCTTGTATATTTGCAGATGTAATAGCATAATGGAATTTGGTGTTTTTTGATTGGACTTTGATAGTATGGGGTGTGATCTGTTGTCTTTGGCTGCTGGAGTACTCCATATTGTCAAATTTGGCTACTAGAGTCTTTTTAAGCATTTATCTTGGAATTTAAGAACTGCAATTATGGATATTTTTTGTGAGATGTGTACTGTTTATTTAGATTTTCAGGTTTCAGCTTCCAATTGATGATGTGAAGTTGTTTTATTTATTTTTTGAATGTAGCAGCCTCGTCAAGTAAGCATGGGAGCATAACATTATTGGCAGCGATGAAACCAGTGCCACATTCTAATCGGCGGAGATTCATGCCTTTTGCAAATGCTGTGATGGCTGCCCAACATGCTGGATGGACCATGAAGCTAGACCAGACAACCAGGGTGGAGCGTAGACGGCAACGAAGGCCACATACAGGAAGACCAAGAACTGCGACAACGCAGGGAAGCGGCGGCTTAGTGAATCCTCACTTGTCAATTACCCCCGCCATGGTAAAGCCACATGGGTGCAGTCGACCACCTATGGAAGAATGCACAGAGGTACGTCGTAACCATTATTTGCTTTTTTATCAAAAGAGATTCGGCCATTTGAGCGTGTAAAAGTCGACGTTCTCATTTTCTTGCAGCACAGCAATGACAGCTCGTTCAATTGTCTAGGTGTTTCAATTCGAATAATACGGTTAAGGGGTTTCAGTATTTATTATTAGATGCGTTGTCTTGTCTTGTGTCGCATCTAATTTTCATGATCTGTTTGGTGGTATTTCAGGATGAGTTTCTGCAGGATCTGGTGAACTTCCTAGAATCAAGAGGTCATAACCGGCTTGTTCCCCCAGCTGGCCTTGAAGCGTTTCCAGAGGTTGTCCTTAACGGGAAACGTCTTGACCTTTACAATTTATATAAAGAGGTTAGCTGACACAACCCCCACTATTTATCTTTCAACTTTGTCGCTGATCGTCTATCCTCTACAGTGTTTGGCCCACATTTTAGCTTTTTTTTATTCAGAATCGCGACAATGACGAAGTTAGCGTGGAATTACTGGGATAAATTACCGTATTTGTTTTTTTTTTTTTTGTTTTTTTGTTTCAAAACTCTAGATGTTAGTGAGACGTTCACATTTAGCAGAAGGTTCTGGCCCAATTCTTGGCAAAGTGAGGTTTTGAGTTGTGGTAGACTTGTTGTAGAGCAACTGGTGTTAATATCGTTATTGGCACTGCAGGTGGTGTCAAGAGGAGGCTTCCACGTTGGAAATGGCATCAACTGGAAAGGTCAAGTTTTTTCGAAGATGCATAATCATACATCAGTCAACAAAATGACAGTGAGTTTCTGGACTCGCATAGTTTAGTGAAGGAATGGTTGCAGTTATAGTTGCTCCACATTCGAAGATTGTGTTGAAATGCGCGTACCAGTCAAATGCAGGCGTTTTTACTGCACTTGACAAGCTGCCTACTCGGGCGTTCAGAATCCAGTTGAACGCTTTGTTCTATCGTTGTTTGGTTATTGCTCTGTGTATCCTATCCTTGTCAAGTTCTTTACTGATCTTACATTTCTTTTGGCAGGGGGTTGGGAACACTCTCAAAAAGCACTATGAGACGTATCTCTTGGAGTACGAGCTTGCTCATGATGATGTTGATGGTGAATGCTGCATACTATGTCACAGGTGATCGCAATGACCAGAATTCAAATCACGTACTCGTCTTTTAAATAAGTCAGTTCGTGATGTGGTTTTGAGTTTTTGAAAAAACGTGGTTAGTTTAGCGCTTTATTTATTTATTTCTTAATAAAGAATATCATGAACTTAACCTTCCGCCACCAAAGTTGGTAGTGCAAACTTAAATGTCTGTTGATGAATTTTAGTGTGCCTTTTGTGCAGTGGGTCAGAGGGGGACTGGGTCAATTGTGGAAGTTGTGGAGAATGGGCCCATTTTGGGTGTGATCATCGACTAGGACTGGGAGCATTCAAGGTAAGCCCTGATTATACGTGAATCATAGTCAGTTGTTTAAGACGACAACCGTGCGCCTTGTTTTCCCGGCTATCTCCTGTAGCGTTTTTTTGGTACTTGACAATTTAATGTTTTACAATCTTTACTGTACAGGATTATGCGAAGACAGATGGCTTGGAGTACATCTGTCCTTGTTGCTCTGAAGGGAAGCCAAACTCACGACGATCTAAGAAGTTTCTAGAGGTGAAGAGCTCCCAAGAAATACAGTCTCCGCCTAGCGACCATCCTCCTACAAAACAGAGGAGAAGCTAACAACTGTCATTTTTATGTCTCCAAACGCGAAGTAAAGCTACCAGAGATGGGATCAATCGACACGTATCATATCTACTGTGTTGGTTGGATCCTCTAGTCGGCAATTCTATTAACAACAGTGTCTGAAGAAAGTGCAAACTCAACACCCTGCTGGGATCAAGTACCTGTCTTGTTTATTCTTCTTCACTGAAATGCATCACAGCATTAACTCGTTGTAGGATATTTTAGAACTGGTACATGTAACATCCCTTTGAATGCAACCAGGAAGACAGAACGGACGCTGTTGAATGTTGTTTTGGGCTAGTACAGCTCACTGCCGACGACAGGTATTATCGAACTAGATAGCAAGACCAGAGGAGATTTTTCTGAACCATCATTGTTACTATAGGACCTGTATAATATTCACTGTGCATGGTTTTGTCGCTCTTATATTCTCAGAGGTCTCTGTGGGTTGCTTTTTGCGGCTTTGTTGGATAATTTGAATTGAACCCAGTTCCATTTGCCTCGATTCTTTGGTGTTTTGGATTCGTGATCTGCATGAAAAAGTGGCCACCTGGATACCATTCACTGTTGTATTACCTTCAGTCTTTGTTACACGAGTTGTAGAATGAGCAATACCTGTTCATCAAATTCAAAAACAATTTCCTAAAAAGTCATGATTTCCATTCATGAAAAAATTATTCTTTATTACAAAATTCCTTATTACAAATATATGAACAACACTATTTTGCATTTCGCACATCAGAATTTAAAAAAAAAAAAAAAAAAAAGGAGTTTTTGCCATGTAACTTGCGTTTTGTAGGATGATATATTTATTCCAAGTGTAGGAAACAATAATTAAATTACTCTATACACTGCAGAGGGATATGTTAAATAAAGTTTTTCTTCAAAAATGTACTTGACTCGTAAAAACAGCAGATATTCTTGTTTCATTTTCCCCTTGTGACACTTTTTAGTATATTTTATTTTTTATTTTTTATTTTTTGGTTCAGTTCTGTCAAACATGTCATTAGTAAAAGAATCTAAAATAAATTATCCATTCATCCATCGACATCGCGGCCCGTTAAGGAAAGGGGCGCGGTTATGGGATAGGTGCGTATAGGCGCGGCCAGTGCGCCCTTTCACCGCGCCTTCGCCCCAACTCAACAAATGTGCTTTCGGGTGCCGCGAGATTTCTCGCGAATTCTTCCATCGTTGCCATTCAAACGAGGAATCGCTGCTCATCATTACGACGACAAGACACACCGTTTAACTACAAACGTGATTGTTACTTCAGGATTTGGACAGTCCGTTGTTGTGTCTCGTTGGGGATGCGACACTCGTTGTTGAATCGCCCCATTGTTGGGTAGGCTTTGCACTACTCTTCTCTTTTTGCTCGTTCCTCTCTTTCAGTCACCAAACTCTCGTGTGATTTGGTGATCTCTGAAGCTTTCTGCGATCTCGACATGGATCGAAGAATCTGTAGTCTGTGTAGAGTTGATTTCTTGTGGAGACTCTGTGTTTAGGGACGGGGAGGGGAAGGGAAGGGAAGGGAAGGGCAGGGAAGGGAGAGGAGGAGAGAAGAGGAGAGGGATTTGTCTCAATTGAGCGGTTGCATAATTTGGGTTTTGGTTTTCGAGAGAGAATTTCGTGTGGTGGAGCTTGAGGAGCGAATTGATGGCGTGATATTTGGTGGTGTGGGAAGAGAGTGCCGGAGTTCGTTTGCATGTGTCGAGAATTGGTTAACTTTTGGGAGTTTCGGTGTTGTGTGACGGTTTGATTGTTGGGTCATTCTTCGGGTTTACTTCCTTAGAGAGTCATCTCCTCGTTTCCCGTCTACGTGCGAGCGTGTTTTCGTTTCCCACATGGCGACTTTGAAGGTAAGGGTTAGGGCGGCGAGTGGAGGTCCGACGCTGCGAGTCCAATTGCAACAGCCTTGCACGTTGCAAGCCCTTAAAGATGCCATCGCCTTGCAAATTGAGAAGTCGGCATCGTCGTTTGAGATCTCTTTAAACAAAAAAGATCCTATCAGTGGGCCGCCTGATTTACTGCTTTCTGCTTTCGGTGTGATCAACGGGGATCTGGTGTTTTACATTCCTAGCACAGGAAGTTCTGTTTCGGTAAGCTGCCTGACTTCACATCGTGCTCAGCTCCTCTATTCGAGTTCTGTATGTTTTGATGAATTATTGTGGAGCAGAGTTGGCTGGTGCTTGTAGGACTCCTTGAAAAACCCGAGAATCCCTACGCGTTTACATCGTTCTGCTCAAGGTTGTATAGGACAACACTTTAAAAACTTGTTCTTTCCGGATTTGCGCAATTTTGCGAAAATTGCTTTGTTCATGCAGGGAAGAGTGTCATTAAAGGTTCTCTTGTAATGCTGCATTCAAGAGTAGTTTCTAGTGGGCAAATGTGCTAGGGCGGATCTCTTGAAATTTTTTAGGTTCCCTAGAATTAAATTTTGAGGTTTGAAAAGTTTAAATTCTAGGTTCCAGAATTGGACCAGAAGTGGGAGTCCTAGTTTGTACAGGTCCAATTGAAATGTAAGGTAGCATGTGCGTGTAATCCTGGGAGTTTATATCGGTGGGCATCGTTGTAGTTATAATAATACTGATACGGATGTATCGCTGTAGAATTTGGAACCTGCTGTTGAGGTTACTGTTTTGCTTGTAATAACTTGTGAGTACGTTTGCACTTTCTGCACGCAGTCTGGTGCACCTGCGAGTTTCAATGTCCTGAGAAACGCTTCACCGCATTCGACTCCGACGAGCATAGGCAGCAGCGGATCCAATCTTGGAAGCCCTTCCGACATACAATCGACATCAAGTAATAAGAATAAAACTCTGGATCCTTCAAGCTTGCGGAGGGAGCTTTGCGCCGCAGCAGCATTGCAGAGAACTACACTGTCGCAGCCTGAAGCAAGCTCTTCCGATTTGCGCGCCTCACCTACTAATGATGCCGAGGAGTCTAGATTGACATCTGGAGATTCTGCGACTTGCTCTCGCGGGGAGGAGCTGAAACCGCATAGTGCGAAGGGAAAGGACAAGATGGATTCTACCATAGCTTCTGCCTCGGGCAATGAGGTTACGGAAATGGAGATTGAGGAAGACGAACATTGCCTCACGGAGTCTCTAAGCTCTCAAAAATCCTATAGCTCTCTTCCAGATCTTTTGCAGCGAGTGCTCCAACATGAACATGGAAAAGTGAAGGAACGTCAAGCTTTTTTGGTTCTTGCGATCCATGCCGTGATGCTGGAGACGGGGTTTGTGCTGCAACATCCCACGGACGCGGTGGGGTCCTCGGATAGGTGTGGGCTGCCCGTTGATTGGAGTGGCAAAGGGGGGCTTGCGAACCTTACTTACACTCTTCCTGAAATCACGACGGCTGCGTCCGCTAGTGCGCAGACATCTGCGGTCGGAGATGCGCTGCTCCGGTGCCAGTTTATTGGCAACTTCCTTGTAGTTTATGGTGCTGTTACTGGAGGGCAGGGTTCCGAGGTATACAGGCTAAGCTTGCCTGTATCTAGGTACTTACAAAAGGACTTTGTGGTGGAGGATAAAGACAATACGAGGGACGCTCTAAAAGTATACAAGCTTTCTTTTCTCTCTTACTCTTGTACTTACATGCTTTGATTGTAAACGTGTCGTGATTACTTGGTCTTTTCAGTTAAAGTATTTTTTTGTCAGTTTTGTTCATGATTGAATACATGACACGCAAGCCAATCGCGTTTTGTCCATTGGCAAACACACATCATGTTTCATTTCCTTATTGGACTTTTCAGTTAAAGGGCAGTTTAAAATCAGATAGCTGTTTAAGTTAGTATTAACCTTTATTATAAAGTTCGTTGCTGTTTGGAATGCAGAATTTGGCCAAGGATGGTGAAGAGATAAAAGAAGGTGCAACACCCATGGAGTGTCTGACTTCAGAGGGAATAGTGACACCAAGCAAAGTTGACATGTTTTGCAATGTATTTGAGTTATGGCAGCAAGTGAAAGACAACCTGTCCCTTCCTCTTCTCACATGCATTTGTGAAAAGGCTGGGCTCCAACCGCCAGCGTCTTTGTTGCTGCTACCCACGGAATTAAAAATTAAATTACTCGAGAACCTTCCCGCAGCTGCTCTCGCAACGCTCTGTTGTGTATGCTCAGAGCTGAAGTTTCTGGCTTCTAGTGAGGAATTGTGGAAAGCTCGTTTTAAAGCGGAATTTAAATCTGATGCCACTCGGGCCCCTGGTGGCCGTGGTTGGAAAGTTGCCTACGCTCGAGAGCTGGCTAGAAAGAGAAGGCGAGAAGAAGATCGGAGGGTGTTCGAAAGGCAACTTAGAAGCGAACCTTTTCTTCCACTTCTCATGAGACCACCCCCAGTAATTCCCCACTTTCCAGGCGTGTTGGGAGGAGACTATGACCGGTTTCCAGCCCTTGGGAATATTGGTGGGTTTAGGCCTCGGAGCCCTGGTGGAGCATATTGGAGCACAAATTATTCGGGTGCTAATGGCATTGGCGAACCGGATGAACTTTCTTTACCTGGCCAGGGAGTGGGAAGAGGGAGTCTTGGGAGAGGTGGGTTGGGACCTGATTCTATGCCTTCACTTATTCTAATGGGTGGCCTGGCGGCCAACCCCATTTTAGACCCTTTCCCTCCATCGATGTTTGGAAGCGAACTAGAGAGATTCCCCCCGCCATGACGTTTTTGCTAATATCTGTTAGCGTGTATAATAGCCGCATTGCTAAACGAGTACGTGAAAATGTTTCTCAACACTAAGCCAAAACTGATGATGAATTTAGACTATCGTATTAAATTTTTGCTTTTATGAAACCTTAAGAAGTGAGTGCAGCTGTATTCAACACAATGATGAGTTAACTGTACCTTCTACATTCGTCTGCTGTGTAGATGCCTTGGCATCAAACCTCTCGTACTTCTCCTCTGCAAGTTGTTTACCACTTGATTTCTTACATCTTCTAACGTACTTAATTGCCATTCTCTTGTCCCTTGGCAGGTCGGTCAGGCAGGTCTACTCACTTTTGGTAATGGCTTTCACCATTCCAATGTTCGCCTAAAGTGGGATGGAGGATTTAGTTTGCACCATGCTTCAGCATCAAGCATCTGCTTTTTTTGATAGGCTCTTAGCAGTTCCTAATCCTTGACAGATTGGTCATCTTGGGCACCAAGAGCTTGTAGAGGTCAAGTTGAGATTCAACTGAGATGATGCTTTTATTTGTTAAAAGCTTTTTGGCATCTTACACAGTAGAGAAGAATTTTTATGTACTCACCAAGGTTTAGTGTATTAGACTATCTACTGTTTTTTTGTAATTAGTCCACCCATGTGTTTATAAGGGTCAAACTTTAAATGTATGTTTTGTATCAAGTGTTTATTTTTGACCAAATTTTCATGCTCATCAATATTTACAACTTCAAAACATAAAATCCAAGTGCATACATCCATCAAAAGTCTTTTAGTGGGCATTAAAGTTTGGCAAAGATAATAATTTAGGTTGAAATTGAAAATGTAATCAATATAATAGTAAGAAAAGACCAAGAATAAGATCATAAGTAACAAATGTAATTTGGAAAGCAAAATATGATTTAGATAGAGAGATAGATAAACGAACAAACAATAGTACCTTACTTAATTTATAACTTTGGTAGATGGAAATTTTGTAAATTATGCAAGGTTTTATAATTAAAATAATTTTATAGTATATAAGTTAGATCAAGTTAATTTTATAGTAAATTTGTTAATCTTTGATACAAAATCCAACAAAGGATCAACTCCTACAATTCAGTCTTTCTATCTCAATTGGGAATATTGGTACAATGAGAGCCACATACATTTGTAACTATGCATTAGTTTGCAAATCACGACCTATTTAAAAAAACCTATATTGAAAAGTACTCCAAATCAAAGTAGGATAAATAGCATTATAGATCATGAAGCACCAAGGGCTTGTGAAATAACCTATCCTTTAGAAATGGATATAAACAACACCATGCTCCTCCTCTAGTGCTATAGAACATCTTGACAAGGACAAAAATTCAAAGAAGATAAGTAAATGAGTAAGAAAAGAATCAAAAAGAGATAAAAGAATAGAAATAAGAAAATAAATATATTTATTAAGAAATTGGAATGACTATTGTCAAAGACTAGGAAGCTAGAGACTCTTAAAACTAGACTAGAAGCAAAAAAAAGAGTTAATAAGAGTAAAGAAGACTTCACTTTTGTCTTTATATATACTATCTACCTAAGAACTATGTGGCAACATTCTATAGGACCTCCAACACATGTCCAATTTGCAAGATCCATGTCTTAACTTGCAAGGCAAGTTTTCCATAAGTGCACCACATTGTTAACTTGTACCACAATCTACCATTATGTGTGACTTGTGACTAACTTATTGACCAAGTTTCTAATCTATAAATCACCTATGGACATGTATAAAAGTAAAACCGCGATTGTGATGTAATATGGCTAATGAATGAAAGAAAGAAGAAAATATTATATTATTGAAAGAATATAGATAATAGTCAAAAAGTTAGTAAAACTAAAGAGTGCTAATGCTGCCTTTTTCAAAAATGGACTTCTATTTACTTTGTAGGACTATAAATAAAGAAAAAAATTAGATAAGAAAATTAAATAATATAGGTATGTGTAAGAAAGATGCTAGAGCAGATTTAGCAAAATTTACTTCAAGAAGCCAAGAATTGATACCCAGAAAGAACCAGTTGTCAACATGGGTCGAAATCAGACCTTGAGGCACAAAACTGCACACCTATGGTGATTCTAGAGCTCTTTTATAGATCAAATAATGGGATTTGAGGGTTGACTTCAGAAGAGATTTTTAAGCATTGGTTTCATGTCATTTAGAACAATATTGAGATTTTGAGGGATTTTCAAAGTTAGTAATGTTCAAGAAAAAAAAATATGTTTACAAATTTGAGGGTTTCTTGAATTCTATAGTTTATGTATAAGTTAAATTTGGGCAATGTGTTGGTTTATTAGTTGTGAATTTGTATGCAAATTTTGAAGTCAATTAAACAGCTAGATTGAAGTATATGAGGATTTTTGTAGGTTGAGGTTTCAAAAATTGGAGTTTGAGAGTGAGTGAGTATTTTTAAGATTTTTAGGAATCTATGAATTAGATTGAAGTGATTTTTTTGTATGGATATTAGACTCTATTTCTAATGTTTGGGTGAAATTTTTGAGCAATTAAACAATTCAAAAAGGAGATATTGGTGCTAAAAGTTTAACATTTAAGTTGGAGTAGGAAGCCATCCAATACTTGATTGGATTATCTTGCATTTTTCTCAATTGGTAAGTGCAATTGATTTCATCTTTCTTGTGCTTGTTCCTAATTAATATATTAATAAGTGTGCAAATTTTGAGTTGATATCAATGGTTTGATTATTAATTGTTGAGATTCTATTTTGCTATAGGATTTATTAAGAATTTATTTAAGATCTAGGATTTGATTAGGATTTGATTAGAGCTTAGGATTTGGTCTAGACTTTGATTAGAATTAGGATCTGATTTAGAACTTGATTAGAATTTGATTAAAATTTTTCTAGGATTTTATTAGGATTTCATCTATGATTTGATTAAGATTCAATTAGAGTTTTAATTAAGATTAAATTAGGATATTTATTTTTGACATTTCTTTAGGATTCTTTGTTATTTCATTAAAATTTCTATTTCTTATATTTTCTTAAGATTATTGTTATTCTTTTAAAGTTTTTTTTTTTTTTTTTTTTTTTTTTTTTTTTTTATATATATATATATATATATTAAATATTTTATGTTTTTTTTGTGACTTCTTTTAAATTTATTTTCATAGCTTAAAGTTTGATTGAATTTATTAGATATTATTTGAAATTTATTTAAGGCTTTGTTAGACTTGGTAGAATTATTGTTGCATTTTTACTTACCTTCTATAAGTAGGTGCTTGGTGCATTCTCAAGCTAGAACACATGTAATATGACACCACGTCTATAAAGCTTATAGGAAGCTTGTCTATAAGATATAATTAAATTAATCTATTTTTATCTACTTCTATCTATATATATTATTTGAATAAATATAAATATATTTGTGATACATCTCCATGAATGCGTAAGGATTAAAAGGAACTGATCCTTTCACTTACTTTAAGAGGTAACTGTGAGTCAAGGACTTTTCAATACCTACTAGAAATCTATGGTGAGGTAACATAAGAGAGGTTGAAAGAATTACCTTCCTCATCCAGAGATAAATCTTGTGCAAGGACATAAGGTAAGGTGTGAAATAAATTAATTACCAGAAGTAAGTCCTAGATGTTTTTTAGAGAGACATGAGACTCTTTTATCTTAGAAGTATAAATTCTAATTTAGACTTATTTAAGGAGTTAGAAGTTGGTTTGGAAGTGAGGATTAACTTGTAAAGTGACGCTCTTGAATTGTAGCTAAAAGCAATGTCAAGGCATAGTACAAATGCATTGATTTGGAGTGATGATGCACCAAGTCTAAGAGTCAAGGCACAACATAACATGGAGTTGTGATGTGAAAGACAATCATGGTGTGACTTTGGATCATAGCCCAACAATGTTTAGGATCTTATTCCGGAATACAATTGTTTTCTATTTTAGATAATTGGGGGGTTTGAAGAGATTGTTTTGGATTACTTGTGAATTTTGTTTTCAAGTGAGTAATGTTGCATTGTAGGATGTTTTAAATTTGATTGAAAATTCAAAGTTAGGCAATGTTACAGGTGGTATTAGAGTAATGTTAGAATTGAGTCAAGAACCAACCAAGGAAGTGAAGATCTCTTTTGTCCAAGGTGAGGAAATAACCAACTTGGTTGTGAAGTTTAAGTATAGAAACAAAAGGTTCTAAGAAGAATTTACTATATATAATCTTAGTAGAATAAATGTAGTATTAGAAAATACTTTTTTGGACTTTTCTGGAGTAGAACTTTGATAGAAGTTTAAGTCAAGAGTAGTTATGGTTGAAGAAAATAGAAATATATTAGACCTACCATTGATAAACCTCTCCATGTTATATGAATTAAAAAATTTTATAGTCTCTTAGAGTGAGTTAGAAGGAGAACAGTTCTTCTTACACTTGAAAAATATTGATTTTAAATATGAAGATATAAATAATTTTCTTAATAAAAGAGACTTGGTGAAGACTACTCCACATTATGCAAAACTTATGAAAAGTCTTATGTTGGAGTTTGGTCATGTTCTAACAAATGAATTATCAAAGGATTTTGTACCTAATAAATTAGTGGATTATAAGATAGACTTAGTTCCAAAAATACAAAGACCAAGTAAAGTATTATATAGATTGAATTAAGTGGAGTTAAAAGAACTCAAGAAGCAATTCAATGAATTACTTGAAAAATATTATATTAAATAAAATAAATTCCTATTAGGAATCCTAGTCCTTTTTATAAGCAAAAAAGATGGAAAATTGAAGATAAACATTGACTATAGAATCTTGAATAAGATTATTATAAAAAACAACTATCTAATTTTAAGAATTAATGACTAATTAAATAAATTGAATAATAGTAAGTATTTTAGTAGAATTGATCTTAAGAGTGGATATTAACAAATAAGAATTATTCAAGAAGACATAGAAAAGACTACTTATAGAACTAATTATGATTCTTATGAATTTTAAGTTATGCCTTTTAGATTAAGAAATACTTTAGCTACATTTACCACTTTGATGAACTATATTTTGCATAAAGAAAGTAATGAATTTGAGATAGTTTATATTGATGATATCTTAGTCTTTTCTAAAAGTAAAGAAGAGTACAAGCTATAGTTAAAGATAGTCTTGGAGAAAATAAGAGATAATCAACTCTATTCTAATATAGAAATAAATGTTTTCTTCTTAAAAGAGTTGGAATCCTTAAGACATGTTATGAATGGAAAAGGATTGATACTAATTTGTAAGAAAATAGAAGCAATCAAAACTTAGGAAGTTCCAAAAATTGAGAAAAGAGTTAGATTCTTCTTGAATCTAGCAAATTATTATAGGAAGTTCTTAAGATTTTTTTTTTAAATTGCTAGTCTCTTTACAAGTCTCTTAAAGAAAGTTAGCAAATCCATAAATGGGATGTGGATTGTGAAGAGTCTTTCAAAGAAATAAAAGATGCTTTGATTTCAAGTACAATCTTATTCTATCATTAATTTGATAAAGAATTTAAAATCCATATCCATATAAGTGAATTTGTAATTGGCAGAGTCTTAATGGAAGAAAAGATCTATGACTTTTGAGAGTAAAAAGTTAAGTGGAAGCTAGCTGAGGTAGCTAATACATAAGAAGGAATTGTTTGCAATCGGACATTGTTTAAAATCTTAGAATTACTACTTGAGAGGTAAAAAAGCCAAAGTATATAT